AACAGTTGGGTTTACTAGGGCCACAGCTCCCTTACTCTTCTCAATCTGAGCCAGGTTCATATGTATGTCCTGGGCCGGCGGTTTGCATCTCTGGCGTTGTGTGTGGATACATTTGCGTGGGACGGAATTCTGCTTATGCCTTTTTGCCTTGGTAATAGATTACGATGCCAGTGCATGAAATTGGTACCGCCAGTACTATAAAAAAGAGTTTACGATACTAATTCCCTCTTAATGGCAACAACGTATAGACTTTTTTTTTAAAAAAAATAAATAAATAAATAAATAAATAATTTGGTATACGTCGTAGACTGCGCAAGAAATAGATCATGGTCACCGGGCTTTGACAAGGTCTGTGTCCCTTCCTCATATTGAAGCTCATTTCCATTGGAGCCATGTAACCCTTCCCCCATCATCATCATATCATGGCCTAAATCGATTCGGGATCAAGGTATCGCATGATGATCCTACCGGTTGACCAAGCATATCGACGATCCAAAAGCCGAAGGGTTCGGAACGGGTACGCCTCGAAGCCGAACCACAATCGCTTTGAAGGGCCAATGCTTTTCAAGAACTTGACCGCATTCCGATGCGTTTGGTTCATCGGTCCATTGACGAAAACACGCCACGGCATTGATCTAGATTTCTAAGCTATCCATTCATTCGCATGGGCCGTTTCATAAAATCCTGACGCGCCATACGAAGCTCAGTGATGATGCAGAGATTTTCAGAGAATCGATTGGGAAGAGGCCTCATTCCTCCTGATTTCAGTAATGGGAATGGGGATGGGGAATGGGGGAGGCTATGAAATGTGGTTCAGGCCGATTTCGAAGACATCATCTGGACAAAGGACAACCTCGAGCGTCTGGGCGTGAACGAGAAGACCAACCCATATCAAGGCTGTGAGGATGCGTCAGAGGCAGCGAACGTTCTGCTCCCCACATGATGATGTTCAACAAGTTCGTTGACCCCGAGGAAATCCCCGACGACGTCTTCTGCGTACGTCGATGCCCATTCGATCGGAAGCAATATCCCGACACCAAAGTCTTATATTTAGGACTGTCATTATACACCGGAAGAGAAGGCCGACTTTATGGCCTTTTTGGGCCGAGGGCAAAGGCAATCTCATCCGAAAGGATACTCGGGGCAATATCATGTGGAACTCGAAGTAGATAAGGAGCTTGTACCACCCTCGACTCAGACCGGCATCCTTTACCGCCGATAAGGTGATTCACCTCCTTCAGCATAAACACCTCCTGTAATACATTGTTAGACGGCATTATAGAGAGAACGCTGCTATGCAAGGGGCGTAGGACCGCGATGGCCGCCTAGCTCTCGTCTTTATACCGAACCGTCTCTATCGAAATCTTTAACTGATGTCGACTTAAACGGCAATGGGGCGAGGATGGGGGAGGTACAATCTCGACAAGAGCTAGTGGCGAGGCTGTACGGTGCGAGAGGACTCTGAGAGAGGGTGGTTTAAGACCACCACGATCTATGGTCGAGTGCGTGCTTGGATGAGGTTGAGGAGATCACCGAATGCTGTCTTCGCCTGTTGACAGGGTCGCAAGAGCGCCACTGGGGCACACCCCTTGAGACGCTAGGCGCTTCACCAACTGCACAAACTGCCTCAACCTCGTTGTTCCTGCAGACCTGTGATAGGATGGCGACGGAATCGTCGGTTTCAGGAATGCTCTTATGGCTACAGGCCAATGTATATATAAACAGGCAGAGTCTCTCTGAATAGCCAGGGGGACAGAACACAATCAACCAGACAGATCCACAACTCGACCTTCGTTCAACATCACCCTTGTAACGGCGTGATTTTTGTTCCTAGTCCTTCATAGCGGTCGAGCAAAAGCAGCCAGTGGCGCCCAGCCTAGTGCAGCGATCATGCCCGAAATGGCAGACCCGCCGCCGCCTGAACCGAAGGCGGCCAGTAATATCCTTTACAGGGTTAATAAGAAGTACTTGTACTTGTACCAAGTAGGCAATACATAAAGAGGCTCGTCACCCACCCACCACCATCGAGAGGCCGTCGACCTCGAGTGCATAAAATCATTCAACACCGGATGGGGGACGGCCATCTATTCCCGTTCACAACGGGACCCTGAAGAACCCTATGAGTCCTGTAGACACACTGTCCATCATACATTCTCCCATGCCATAAACCGCCACACCATGGCCACCACACACTCACGATCAACCCTAGAGAATGATTCCCGCCCCATCCGTTTCTTCATCGACCCTGGAGCTCAGCCACTACAATTATCGCACAGCACGGAGCACGCTGTTGACCAGTGATGTTGACATGGGAAATCATTCCTCAGACTATCGGCTATGCTACTCGGATATCCGGCTCAACGTCTGATCCTGTACACGTTTCGATTTTCATCAACCCCCCTGTCAAACTATCTTGCCTCAGAGATATCAATCCCGCCAAACATCTCTCCTCAAGCATGTACATCCAGCACCTCCCTGTCCGTGATACACCCGAGGCTGGCGTCACTCACGAGTTTGGCATATTTTGCCAAAACGCCTCTCCTATACCGAGGCTCTGGCTTGTTTGCCTTCCATTCCTCCCGTCTCTTTTGCAATGTTGCTTCGTCCACCATCAGATCCAGCGTCCTGCTCTCGGCATCAATCACAATCTCGTCTCCGTCTCGCACCAAGCCGATCGGACCCCCTTCCATGGCCTCGGGGACGATATGGCCAATCAAAAACCCGTGCGATCCACCGCTGAACCGTCCGTCTGTGATAAGGGCGACGTCTTTGCCTAATCCGGCACCCATGATCGCCGAGCTGGGTTTCAACATTTCAGGCATGCCCGGTCCGCCCTTTGGCCCCTCGTAGCGAATGACCACCACGGTCTTCTCACCTTTTTTGATCTCACCTCGTTCGAGAGCCTGGATGAACAAATCCTCTGCATCGTAGACTTTGGCTTTGCCCTGAAAGCGTAAGCCTTCTTTGCCCGTGATTTTGCCCACGGAGCCGCCTGGCGCGAGACTCCCCCGCAGGATCTGGATATGTCCGGTCTTCTTGATCGGATGAGAAAACGGCTTGATGATAACTTGGTCCGACGGGAAATCTGCGGCGGATTCGACGTTCTTGGCCAGCGTTTGGCCCGTCACGGTCGTGTGCGTTCCCTTGACCACTCCTTCTTTGATCAGGAATTTTAATAGGGTAGGAATGCCACCGATGGCGTGGAGGTCGTTGAAAACATATTTCCCACTCGGCTTGAGATCCGCAAGGAATGGAGTCCTGTCACTGACCGCCTGGAAGTCGTCGATGGTGAGCTTGATGCCCACCGCATCAGCCATGGCAATGAGATGCAGCACCGCGTTGGTTGAACCACCGGTGATCATGACCACAACCATGGCATCTTCAAAGGCCTGGCGGGTCATGATGTCGCGTGGCTTTAGGTCGAGTTTGAGCAGATTCTTGATGGCGCCTCCGGCTGCTAGACACTCGAGTTGTTTCTCCTTGGAGGCGGCCGGGTTGGATGCACTGCCAGGCAGTGTCATACCCAAGGTCTCAATGGCCGAGGCCATAGTGTTGGCGGTGTACATACCACCACAGGCTCCACAGGCCGGAATGGCGTGGCGGATGATGTCGAAACGCTGTTCCTCATTGATTTCACCCGCGATGAATTGGCCGTAGGCCTGAAATGCCGAGACGATGTCAATATCCGCGTCATTCTGCGTCCTCGCACACCCGGGGGCTATGGAGCCGCCATATACCATTATCGACGGTCGATTCACTCTGCCCATGGCCATGACCACACCGGGCATGTTCTTGTCGCACCCAGGAATGGAGATGTTTGCATCGTACCACTGACCTTGCATGACCGTTTCTATCGAATCGGCAATGATCTCTCGTGATTGCAGACTGTAGCGCATGCCTGTTGTACCCATTGATATTCCGTCCGACACGCCAATCGTATTGAACTGCATAGGCTGTAGTCCAGCATCCGCCACGCCCTTTTTGACCACGTTGGACAGATCCAGCAAATGCATGTTGCACGGGTTCCCGCTGTACCAGACGGACGAAATTCCCACTTCAGCTTTGTTCATGTCTGCTTCAGTCATGCCGGTCGCATACAGCATCGCCTGTGAGGCGCCCTGGGATTTAGGCTGCGTGACATGGCGCGAGACTCTATTGAGACCTTCGGTTTCTGACGAGCTGGAGGGGCCTGCGTGGCGAAGAGGTGACGAGGAGAACGGGCGACTGCCAGTCGGTTAGTGGTGAAAGATCAGGGCGAAGTGCAGCGAGCATACATGGTTTGTCTGCCGAGTGTCAGCCTGGCCTGCCTGAGGCGGAGGCTTCTGAGAGCTGCTGAAGCTTTCATATTGAGCTTCCGTGACTTGAAGAGCTGAGGGGAGAATCGAGACCAGGCGCATTGACCTCTCGACGAGGCAAGAAAGGACTAGAAGAGGCGATAGACAGGTCACACTCTTCCACACCCTTCGAAATTCCCAGCTTCACCTCAAAGTAGAGTCAACTCCTCATCCAGACCCACAGCAGAAATCCAGTTTTCCCCAGGAAACGCAGGTCCGTAAGCGGAGAGGCTCGAAAAGTTCACTGCCATCAGCCGGAGCCAATCGGAGTGGCGGGAATTCAAACAGGGCCGGGGAGCCTAATCAACCTCCGAAACCGCGTGGTGGGAGCCTCGCGCAGCAGGGCGAGCTTCTCTCAGCCTCGCACATTGAGCTATTTCCCCACGTCTATAACATTCATAACAAGTGCACGAGACTTCACTCGCGAATAAATCTCAATCATCAAACAGCTGGGAAAGGCCTAGCACCCATTACATATGCTTCGCGATCTCTCCAGAGCAAACTATCGCTCCTGTGGGCAGATTCGAGATCCGGATCATTGAACAAGGCCAAGGAGCGCGCAAAGAAACCCCCTGCCCTTGCATGGTGACGTCGCCTCCAGGCTTCAGACTGCAAATGTCGAAGCCGTGCTGTACCAATGATGAGACCCGCACTCAATCTCTCAGGTCATAATCTGGATTGAAGCAGAAGCTCAAAAATGTCAAGAGCCAGTGGCTTGCAAGATTCGAGGACATTCGTTATGCGATCTGCCTCGTGTCCCGCCACATTTTCTTCAGTATGTGACACCTCCTCCACCGCTGCCGCCGAGGTAAAGTCTTCGAACTCCAACACTTCGCCGTCCCAGTCAATCGGCGATTTGTGCATCTCAGGGTCGTTCGATGACTGGTCTTCATGCTCAGGTTCTAGCCCAGATCGCTCGGTAAGTCCTGCTCTGGTGAATGAGTCTAACGCGCGTTAGGACTGCGCGTGGACTATCGCTAGGACTTAGTCACAAACAACAAGCGGGAAGTGCTTTGTATGGCTTTGCTGTGGCGGAGGCAGGCATAAATATGATAATAGCCTCAAGATTTGACATCAAGCGACAGGGATCTCCGGCGATGGAATTCATGATACTCTGCTCAAAAACTGTAAAGAATGGCACTCTGTCAGCACTGTAAACTGTTCCGCACTCCCCTCTGCCAGCCCATTTTGGTTTGACATGTGACTAGACAACTTCTCCCCCCTTTTTGCTACCACTCTACCTGCCCTGCACAGCACAGCACAGCCACTTTGCCTTGTTACAGTACGTTGCCAACCACGGCAGTCAAAGTCAGCAGGCGTTAACCGAACAGGGGAGGCTATGCTTACGAATCTTTCGCTGATCTAGGTCGTCAATGTCAACCAGGCCATCAGATAGCTCATGAAGCAAAAGGGCTAATACTGCCCCATTCTGAGCCTACGGTGAACGCTCCTGATCCTGGTAGCCGATTTTTAAGCGCGTCAATTTGAAGATGCATTGGGCATGACAAGCTGTCCAATATGCTTGGTTGGCAGCGGTATCATTGCTGGCTTCGGCGTGCTCCCGGTAGCTCAGACATCACATCCACTCTTCTTTCCATGACAATATGCAGACCTGACCTTTGTTGGCCCATTACTTGTGATGGTGTGTCTCCACATAGCGAAGGTATATTGTAGGGCTGCCTTCTAACAACAAACTCTGGACTTGTTGCGTCATTACGTCTCGAACGTCCTCTCATTTTGATCCACATCTCATCTGTGCCACTGCATGCGACCATGGTGCGAATCCACCAAGTGACACCCCGATGGTATAATTCTTTCCTTTCCTTTGTCATAGCTGGCGATGTGTGTGACAGCACGCGGTCTGTCGTTGGCCATGGGACTACATCGTTGTTTGGTTCGCAACCTTCAAGCCGCATGGTCAATGAATCGTGTCCGAAGAGGCGTTCAAGGAATTTTAGCCATCCTTGGGCAATCTTCTCACAAGCCACACCCATTTTGTGGAAGGGCCGTTCACATCGCTTGTCAACGTTCACTGGTGTCAGACATCCCCAAGCACGGGCCCTTGTGGTGGGTTGAGAAAGTGGTTTCATGATCGACGATGGTGGTGCGACTTCCGGATACTTGTTCACGTTTAGCTCTTCACCAAGGTCGTGCTGCATACCGGAACCAGGGTAAGTCTCAAACACCCCGAACAGCTCCTCGCCTTTGATCATCTGAACCTCCAATAAAGCTCTGAGTAGCGGTGGCGCAGCAAGATCTAGCTCGAGTGCGAGCACTGCCTCACGATGGTGAAGACTAGTGTGAAGACGTCCCAGTATTTCTTCAAAGGCAAGTCGGCTTTTTGCTTTTCCAAAAGTGCAGCTAGTAAGTCCAGAGCAGCTTCTTCACTGGCAGCTTCTGGTTCCTTCGTAGCTTTCTTGAACGCGTACATTTCCTTGAGCCGGCGATCATGGATGGGCACAAGACACTAGATGATCGTGATCACGATCTCGGTGTAAAGCTCGTCATCGACGTGTAGGTAGCTCTCGAATGCGTCTGTTGCGAGACAGCTTCGGTAGAAGCATTGAGAGTAGGCGAGATCATCAAAATAAGCCAGAGAATTCAACCATCTCCCAGAATTTGCTGCTGGGAGGAAATTCCATTCGCTCCATTCACGCTCTTCGTCAACTTCATACTTGTTCATAGTTCGATGCAATTTTCTTTGGCGCTTCGAGAATCCTCTGTCTGGACAGGAAACAAATGTTCCAGGCGCTTCTGATGGTAGCATTTATATGCACACGTCAGTCGCACCCAGCCGTCTCTACCAGGGCTAGCACAACATCGCCTCTCGAGATAGTAGCCCCTGGCGTATGAGATCCCGAACATGCGATATAAATACTTTCCCCATCCTTCGCGAATGTGATGATCCATACATTCTAGTCGCTCATGATAAATTTCAATCATGGTAGTCTCTTCAGTGCGACAACCTCTTGTCCTCGATGCCCGCTCCCGGGGAGTGAGATTCCCGATCTTTTGGGTGCTTTTGTGCTCGATGTCGGAAAACGCATTTAGACATTCGAGCTCCTAAGCACAATAGTGAAGAATCCGATCTCGTCGAAAAATACAGGCCTGATGCCGTTGATCAACAGAATGCGCGTGATGTTCTCCAAGCTGCCTCCAATTCGCAATTGAGGGTCAGTCTACAAAACACTTTCGGGATTGCCGCATCTCGAGAAGGTTAGGAACAACTTGATCTTAGGACTGCACGAATCCAAACCATGAGGCTCCAGGATCACGATATTGTGTACGAGGGGATGGCCACCAAGCACGCAGAAGACATCAAGAGCAGAGGAAACATGTCTGCATGGTGGAAGAACCTCCATAAGATCGTAGGGTTCAAGATCGTCGTCACGGAAGCACATAATCCGAACCTGTCGACAACAAAGGGATTCGGTCGGTGGATTCTGAACCGGTTCTGGACGCGTTGGACAATAGAAGGAAGGGAAGGAGGTCGCCATGTTTCGCTCGATGAGACAAACACTACAAACATGCCGAGGCCTGAGCGGCTTCTCGGCTCCTGCCGCCGAATTACTCCGTCGAGTCCGTCCTCCACACTCCCATGAGAGTCTTACTGCCAACACCTTCGAGACATGCTGATCTCAGGATTACTGCGCATTGACCCGACGCCCATTTCTAACAAGCCTTGGATACAGCATCATATGGTGCAGGACACTGAATTTGCGCTCTGTCGACACAATGCATTTTTGTGAACTTCTTTCGCCCCGCGAATAGGTCACTCTGATTGGCGGAACAATGGGCTTTTGCGCAAAGGTTGCTTTGACTTTGGGATCTCACAGCGCCGCAGCCTTTGCGAGAGACACGACGCCGAATATTACTCCTCAAAGCGGCTGACGAGCGAGGCGAGGCGGGCATAAAATGTGCCTTTGCCGTCTTGATGATGGGCATGATGCATCGTGCTCGCCAAATGCGGTTCGCGGAAAGTCAGAGGATTTCCAAGCCTCCAGGATATCGGAGTAGACGTACGAGCACTGGTACGGATTCTCGAAGGGCAGAGAACAGTTCCTCTTTGGCCAAACAAGGAATCTTCCATTCTCGGGTCGACCGCGGGACGAATACGCATAATGGAAGTAAAATCAAAGGAAAAAAGAACTTTTGGGCAAATTTTCGAGGACCATCGATGAAATTGAGGATCGGTGCCCATATTAAAAGATCCGCAAGGGAAAGCTCTTGTAAGTAAATCGTCGCCGAGGCGGCAATGGGCGTCGTGTAACATCCAACATATGAAGTCATTTATCCTCTTCTTCTCCCGCTGCTGCTGCTCGGTCTGGCCGTCGCGCTGGCAGTTCCCGGGCTCAGCCTAGTCGCCTCCTCTGTGGCCAACGCGGCACTCCCCTTTTGCCCAACGCCCTGCGGGCCACCTCTTCCCTTCTTAGCCAACTCCTTCGCATGTCCTGCGGTGGTCAGACTATTCCAATAATAAACCACCTGCGCCGCCAAAACCGCGTTCAGCACAAAACCGGCGATAAATCCGTATAGGATCAGCTTGTCATCCACCTCTTGGATAGTAGTGTAGATCCGACTGAGGCTGCCAAACAAGTAGTTGAAGACGGCAAACGCCGACAACTGGCCTGTTCCACCCTGTCTGTAGATCGTGAGGATCTGCGGCAGTTTACTGGCGATGCTCAATGCGCCAGCGCCCGCTTGCAAGCTGGTCATTTGCGCGTCTGAGACAAGTGTGTCCGAGACCATCAGCGCATAGACCGCACTGCCAAAGGCGGCGAGAAAAGCTCCTGCCTGGGCACTCTTCTTTGAATACACCAGGATCAACACGCTGATCACCACATCCTGGATAGCGATGAGAGCCGTCTCGCCGTATGTGCTGAAGGGGAAACCATTGCGCATGTTATACGCCAGGGTAATGACAAAGCTGGCTGTTTCCAACAAGTAGCTTGTGAACGACAATCCCTCGGAAGATTGGGACTTGACGAGTTTGATGATTTGCGGCACTTTCACGACCGAGGCGGCCGTGATAATCACAATGCCCAGGGCTTTTGAGATGGCCAGGGATACGCATTCGGGATGGGAGGCGAAGTCGAGGTCGAGGAGGAGGGCGCTGTGGCAGCGTTCGCCGAGGAGGCTGATGGCTAGGTCATTGATTGGCTCAGGTAGGTTGCGAGTTATAGGAATCAGGTATGGTTTTAATGAGTCAAGCACAAGATCCTGAACTTGCTCCATGACGAATGCTCGATGCGACTCGACAGGAGGAGTGGTCGAAATTCGAACGATTGGAGATGGGTATGTGCTGCGGACGAGTGAGGAACAATGTGTTTGTTTATGATGCCAGGGTGGCCTGGGTGGCCCCGACACCGACGTAGATGCCGGGGACACGTGACGATCCAGGGGCTGCAGCCTCGGCTACCTGAACTGCTAGGCACCGAGTAAAGACTGCGTGGCTAAACCGATATGATAAAAGGCTGATAACTGTTTTTACATGGCTATGTTATTCTTCACATACATCTACCACCGTTCATGGGCACTCAGGTTCACGCCCTGCGCGAGAATCTGGGAGTCGACCCAGCAGCCGCCGTGTCCCGGACAACAAGGTGATAAGTTGCCAGCTGGTCTCGGGTGATCGGTGAAGGTGCGCCAGCAAACTTGTCTTCGCCATCCGCGTACTTTGGAAAGGCAATCACATCTCGTACACTCGCAGTATTCGTCAACATGGCCATCAAGCGATCAAATCCTAGGGCAAATCCAGCATGGGGTGGACAGCCAGTACGCAATGCTCTCAGTAGATGTCCGAAATCTTTGACGCGCTCCGGGTCCATCTTCAGAACCTCTCGGAGGATAAATTCCTGCATGAACTCACGGTGTATACGACAGGAACCGCCACCCACTTCAACCCCATTGATGACAAGGTCATAATGGTCCCCAATAATGGACAATGGGTTCTTCTTGAACGTGGACACCGACAATTCCTGGCCTTGTTTGGGAGCTGTGAATGGATGATGCGTTGAACAGATGCCTGCAGATCCGCCTTGTCCTGGTTCGGAGTCTTCTGTCGGAGAGAATAAGGGAAAATCGATTATCCACAAGGCAGAGAATCCTGAAGGGGCAGGGAGTAGACCCTCCGATATGGCGTGCTGGTAGATATCCCGACGCAGGTCTCCAAGAACAGTAGAGCCGCCAGTAAATGGCTTACCATCACGGCTATAAAGAACCAGGATGTCACCCGGCTCGGGATCAAACTCTTCTTCCACTTTGGCTGCTCCTTCGTGGCCAAAGCTAGCTAAGCCATGCAGTGGCTTTAGAGGATCAAAAACCGCCACTCCGGGGATTCGTGCGTTGTCATTCGTATATCTTGCCGTTGAAGACGCTTCCAAGAAGGAAGCCACAAATTTCTGGCTTTCCGCTGGCTCACATCCCTGCATACCGATTTTCACCATCTCCATGACGGGATCGTCAAGCGAAGTCACCATCTTCTTCACATTAGGCGGGAGCCACTGGTCCACCCGATGAATCTCAGAGCCAAGACGCGTGTCAGGCTTGTCCGAGCCATACCGGGTCATTGCGGCTTCATATGTCAATTGTGGAAATACCAGGTCGCGACATTCTACATCGGCCGATTTGACCCTGGAAGAGCTCGTTGACGAGGATGTCTCCAGAGGAGCAATATCAGGTACATTAGGCCAGATGGCATGAATGAGCAGCTCTTCTACAGCGGTCATGACATCAGTACTACTGGCAAACGCCATCTCGAGATCAAGCTATCGCAAGAATTAGCATCATCTAGCTGCGGCGAGGTGAAACACATTACCTGGGTGAATTCGGGCTGTCTGTCGGCTCGCAGATCCTCGTCGCGGAAGCATTTGGCAAATTGAAAGTATCTCCATATTCCCGAGGCCATCAGAACCTGTTTATATTGCTGCGGACTCTGTGGCAGTGCGTAAGCCAGACCTTTCTTTCTTGTGGGGACAATGAATTCCCGAGCCCCCTCCGGTGTGGATTTGAACAACAAGGGCGTCTCAATCTCATCGAAACCATTGCTCAGCATATGTTCTCGTATTTTTCCTGCAATTCGCGAGCGTAGCCGAATCCGGCGACGAAGGTCCGAGTCCGTCCTGAACTGCAAATGGCGCAACTCCGGCGGGAATACTGTATCGCATTTTGCAGTAATATCGGATGGCATTCCATTGAGAAATTTGTAAGAATCTGCCCTGATTTCGACGTGAGATATGAGGTCAATGTCTCCAACGTAGGGGTCTAGTGTCCGAATCGTATTGGCCGGCCCTTGTCGCTGTGAAGAATCATGACCTCCTGATACGACTCGCTGCTGGTCTTTTTTCGGCGGTGTCTGTCGTCGCACAATGGTCCCGGAGATCCGAATAGGTGTATGGGGGCGAGGAGCTCTGAAAATACTAGGGTGCTCCTCATGGAGATCCTCGACGCTCGACCCTCTATCTAAACTCGGGCCCTTGGCACCTAAGCGCTTCTCTACCACATCACTTTCCCCAATCTTTGCAGCGGAAATGGTATGGGAGAGGATGACTTGCACGGCAAGCTCTAAGCGTGGATCGACGAGCTGAACAAAGTCGAAGCTCTTGCTAGGTCTGTGAGAAGTAATGTAGCCATAAAGCTGCACTTGGTTCTGCTCATCGGGGCCAGGATCGGGCGTGGTTGGCAAGGAATCAAGGTCGGTCTGGCGCAGTTTTTCCCAGGCAGTGCTCGCTGCACTTGAGGAAGAGATCCCTGGGAGAGTCAGGCGCTGTCCAAATCCCTAGCCTTCTTCTGCCTTACTAGAAAAGCTGTATCGCCTGATGTCGCCATTACTGGTTTGTAATCTTGGGTCTTGTTGCCGGTCGCTTCGAACGGGAGACGTGGTAGAGTATGTGCATCTTCGACAAAGGGAGGGTCTGACCGAGCGTCGCGTGGAAGCAAAGCCTGCCTGCGAAACCTGACCACGAATATACCTGGAGATTTCGATGTAGGTGCGTCGGAGGTGAGCTGACCGCGTAAGTGATCTTTGAAGCTCCATCAGCTACGGTGACAGCAGGCGTTGACAGACCATTGACGCGAACAATTTTCACAAGAACCGAGTTGAGTTGGAGCAAGGTTGGAGAAGTGCGGAGTTTTGCACCTGCCAAGAGAAGGTAAACAAGTGCAATATATTACGGGTTGAACCTAGAGGGTGAGTGAAGGCTGCTTTAACCTGAGCTTTAACTGAGCCTCACTGAGCCCTCCCGGAGCACTACTGGGTACCTGAGCAGCTCACTGAGCTGCTCGGAGGACCCAAACTGGCTCCCCAGTGATCGCCTAAAACGTGAGTTTCAGTGGGCACCTGTTTCAGACCATCCTCAGGAACCTGGTAGATCCCCTGCACTTTCACCGCCTCCTACCTACTATTAGTGGGTAGGTGCCTATTAACTCAATTTTAGCTACCGAGTAATATCAATCAAGTTTACATAGACCTCCATCTTTAGCGCGACGGCCGTACCGAGTACCGAGTACACTGCTAAATCCTATGCCGCACCTCCAAAAGAGCCATCGCAGGCACCCGCCTAATCACGGGATTTCTGCGTTGACTCTGAGCACTTCTTCGTATACTGAGATGACCTTCCGATGCCTGTAAGCATTGGCCGGCATCATGGAACAAGAAGTCGGCGGGGAACCGAACTCTGTCGACCACACTGGACTCTGTTTATTGTCTCTTGACGACGCTCCATATCCTCAGGCGCCTTATGAGACTGCTGAATCACGAACGTCAGAAGAGCGGAGCCATGCCGCTTAAGCCATGTGAATTGTTTGATCTCATAGGAGGGACAAGTACGGGAGGGTACGTGCAAAACACTACTCTGTGCATCATAGCTATCGCGCTAATATGAAATTCGAAAGTCTGATCGCTATCATGCTTGGCCAGCTCGAGATGGACGTAGATGAGTGCATTGAAGCTTACAACAGACTGGATCAAGACTGTATTTAAAAAGAAGGCACACTGGACGCCCCTCAACTAGAGCGGAAATATTCAAGCGCAATTCGACAATGCAAAACTGAAAGGGGCCATTGAAGGGATTATCACTAGCCAAGGGTACTCCACCACGGAACTGTTTGACGACGGCACATCTCACAGGTGTAAAGTGTATGTATAGATCAAGGTTGTGACTATATTATAGTTGAACGGTGATCTAGCCTTGTATGCACGGTAACGACGAATCCGTACCGCATTAGACGTCTACAAAGTTACGAAATTCCCCAAAAACTGGATATGCATGTAACAATTTGCGAAGCCGCCCTCGCCACATCAGACGCCACCACATTTTCCCTCCCGTCTCGATCGGGGCTAGAACCTTTGTGGACGGGGCGTTAGGAGCGAACAACCCGGTGGACGAAGCCGAAAGAGAAGCATCAGATATTTGGTGTCCCAATTCCGGCGATCTGAAGGACCTTATTAAGTGCTTCGTCTCCATTGGGACGGGAAACCCGGGCAAGAAGCCGATTGCAGACAGTGTTGCGAAGTTCTTGTCTGAGACACTAGTCGATATCACGACTCAGACAGAACAGACAGCGGAATATTTTTTTGGCGAGGTGGAGGGAACATTACCGCTCACATCGATATTTCCGTTTTAATGTCGAACAGGGACTCCAAGAAGTCAGCTCGGCGAATACAAGGAGCAGGCCGAATCGAGAACGCTACTTATGATTACCTCGACCACCAGCAGCAGGCCTTTCGCTTGCAAGACTGCGCGGAGAATTTGAAGCTGAAGCAGAGTGTGTACATCGAAGATTTCGCTTAGCTGGAAACCGTTCCGTAGCTGACAACCTCACGATAGGAAAGGCCGACAGCTCGTTAGGCAGCAAAGTCGATGTAAGTCGAGTCTCGTCGTTGACTACTTGACGACTTGACGCTTAGCCTTGCCAGGAATATAAAGCATTCCGACCTCAGTTAAGTACCTAGGTATGGAGAGCCTGACCGGGTCAAATGACTCCTCATAATGACTATATCTATATTTTGTCCCCCTTTCCAGCTATTACATGCAAGCCAAAGTATCGGATAGTGTACGGGCAATCATCTCTGAGAACACGCAAGAAGTCTTTGGTCTGGAGACGCGAGATTTTCCTACTGGCCAACGTACAATCTATGTCGAAAATGGTGGTTTCTTTGTCAGATTATGCCCGTCTCCGTCCTTGGCCCGAGCAAGTTTCTTCAACCCAGAGACCATTACTTTTCATATTCCAATCCTGAGTCTTAGCTGACTGATGATACTTGCATCAAAGGCTCTCTCGGGTTCAGAAAGACATCATCCACGCCTTCAGCGCGCCTCCTTGATGCTTTAGCATTTCCAGAGATGAGCAAGCGTCGCAACAGAATGGAGGAGCGCATCATCGATTTTGGCGAGACTTACCGCTGGATATTTAATCCCCCAGAGGAGATGAAAAAGCACAAATTTATTGATTGGCTTCAGACCGGCAAAGATATTTTGGGTCAGTGGAAAGCCTGGATCCGGAAAATCTACACTTATGGATTTGGTCTATCACGACCTTCAAGCAGAAGGGGCTGGCCATGGCCATTTGGAGGAGTGGGCAAGACCCCACTGTGTTCAAGTGCTCAGCTTTTGGTTCTACAGACCAGCCTCGAGCGATTTACTGAAATCATTGCAAGGTTTTTGGAGATCACATTGCTTTCAGATCCTCGACACGGACGAGACTCTTGGGGATAATATCCGAGAGAACAAGGATAGCAAAGCGCCTCAGAGTCTACGATCTTGTCTTGTCCCACCGGGTTCTCGTACTCAGACTTGGACAGACATGGAACTGAAATCATGGTTCTATTATCTGATCACTCATTCTGTCTTCAACTTCCGTCTACTGATCGATGGCCTTAACGAGGTTCCAAATAATCGCGACAACTTGCTCGACACCATTGGACTCATTGCTGAGAGCTTTAACAAGGTCAAAATCTGCTGTTCGAGTCGGAGAGAAAGACTCTTTGAGCAGATACTCCAACATAACCCATCCCTGCGGTTGGAAGACCTTAATTATGAGGATATCCAAAAGCATTGCTATCGGCGACTCCATACAACCAGAGCTAGACGATACGTGAACACCATTACCAGTCGGGCAGATGGCATTTTCTTATAGGCTTATTTAGTGACCGAAGAACTCAGGAATGCTGTCAATAATGGAGATGACGAAGTCGTTCTCAAGCGACGCCTAGGCGAGTGTCCAGGCGAAATGCACAAGCTATTCACGTCCTTGGTCGAGCGGCAAGACAAGTTCTATGCAAAGGATCCGAAACCATATCTCCGTCTAATCGAGGTTGCAACCAAGAGAGGGGATAACAATAATCACGGTGCCGGCGCGTTTCTCACCTTTTTTGAATTGCTTGTGGCGTCATCAGCACAGGAAGAATTTATTTCACGCGTTCCGAAAAGCCTGGATGCTTCCCTTTTGGCATCTCTGGACTCGCAAGCGCCCGATCTGAAAGCGAATGTTGTGGTGAGATGTGCAAATCTGGCTGAATTGGTTCCAAACCGGTCAGATCTCCAATCTTATCCAAAAGAATTCGCTTATAAGGAATTGGTTAATGCGGACAGCTTGGAAGTACGGTTCATACATCGAAGGGTACAAGACTTTTTGACGGACAGCGAAGAAGGGGCTGCTTTGCTTCGGTCCTACAACATGACCGAACAGAACGCGGTCATACGACTAACGATTGCCTCGGTTACCAGATTCCTGGCCACCCCTTACATGTCAAGAGTGGGAAAATCTTTGAAATGGGAGAGCTTGATAGAGGCGGGATTCTGGGCGAAGAACGGGACGGGTGCTCTGGACATTATTTTCCCGACACTGCAAGCCCGTAAGCCATTGCGGATGCCTCCATTCACGGCCGAAGACACATCGATCAATGGCAAGACCCCACCCTTTAACGTATTGTGTCCCCAACTTTCACCGCTTGAGAATGTCGCCTTTGGCTTTGCTACCGGTTTCGCCATGGTGGCTTACACTGAGGCCAAGCTCCGTGCTCTTGATTTACAAAAATGGCGGTTGGTGGTAGGGTTCTCCTCCTGTCTATGCGTGAGAGCGTATGGGCTCGGACGTGAGAGTAGTGGCTTCCTAACCATGTTCGAACCATACCTGTCATTGACGTCGTTGACGCAAAACCTCACCCTCAGTTACATTTTGGAGCCCTTTACCGATGTAGACTTCTGGGTTTTCCGCCACTTGTCCTGTGTGGCAACACCTCGCCCTGGGTTTCACCAATCGAGATTTTGAAGGACTGGCGATGCCTGAGCAAGATTTACTAGCCTCATCCTGGGTTCCGCCAGCGGCGGCAGAGAGGAGACTCTTTGGGTCGAGGGTTGCATTATTCACGGTCACGGCTTTGAGAGCATTCTGCAAATTCTCCAAATGCCGGATGAAGCAGCCGACTCGTTCACAGATATGACCGGAGGGGGAGATGTCTTGCGAATTCACTTGAACATACGTGCAAGCACACAAGGGACAGCTTACTCGGTATATTTTGCCCAATACGCGCCAGGGGGACTTGGTCGATTCCTCGGGCTCGGACAGACCCACATCGACTCTCTGCAGCAAATCTTCGTCAAGGCGGAGTCGCTTCAAGACGCCTTCCAGGCTTCTGCGGAATGCCTGGTAGCTATCATCAAACACCATTGGGATAGCTTATCCCCCAAGGAGATCGCCAATGTAGTGTGGTACCATGATGAAGATTCATCCTTCATCTTCTCCAAAGGCGAGCTTCAGGTAGTAGGATATGAATCCGAAAGACAGGCTTGGGAGGAAGGATTGTATGAAGGAGAGATGCATAGGTATCCCGTGGATAATCCTGTAGTAAGCGAGATCATCGAGAAGATGAAACTTGTCGGGACATGGAAAAACATTGGAGAGAGTGGCAAAAAGACTGGCGACAATGTTTCCGGAGAGTGATGATTTGTCCTCTGAGCAAGAGTAAGGAGAACAGCTGTTCCATGCTTTTAAAAACACTCTATTGAGCAATATGTAGACTGCTTCGACTTGGAAAAGCGTGCCAATTCGTTTCGCCAGAAACATGGGACGGTTTGCAGTAACCTTGTCAAGTCAAGTGTTTCCCATGAACCGACATAGCTCATCCTTTGGGCAAGGGCCCAAAGAACACAAGTCTCCTTGGAGAGAGATCTTGTTGATATTCCAAAACTGCCGGGACCCTTAGGAGTATATTGTCACTGGCCACAATCCTGTCCAATCTCTCTGCAGACGCGGGTTACACTTGGAATGGCCACAGTTGTACGTATTCTTACCGAAATCTTCGTCTCGGACTCCTGCAGAGCAACCCCCATCAAAAGATCTAGGAGCAATTGAGCAGTCCGAGACCATTCCCAAGGCGCAGTTTACCTTGATAGAAAGTAGCGACGTCTCAGCTAATGGCTTGGTTAAAGCTCAGGATAAAACAGCCTTTCGCTCAAATCTAGGATCAAACTGTATATTAATAGTAATGAGGTTTTCCGTTGGCGAGTAGTAATCTAGGTACATGCTACCTATGCTCCAGGTATATAGCTCGCTGGGTAGGTGATTTGATGGCTGGTGCCAGCTCACCCCTCCGAGACTCCCATCTGGGAGGAGGATGCCGCCTGTGCTCGGGGCTGAATTCCCCATTCCTGTCTGGCAGTAGGCTTGGGCAGCACGCCACCACGATGGTCTGGTGACTCTTTTGTCGCTCCGCTTCGATGCGGGCATCCTCGGTCTGGTGTAATGTGTACTTGGTAAAAGCAATCGTCGAGCTGAGGGTGAGTTGATGGGTGAGCGGAGGTTCAGTGATAGTGAGTAGAGGCTGACTGCGGTGAGTAGTGCTTGATGGTGTTTAAAAGCAGCGCGAGTTGGCTGAGAGCACACGTGAGCTCAGTGCCGATTTAGCTCTTCTGTCGCCAACTTCCGATAGCCGCTTGCGCACAAAACTTCCCGAACCTGAATCTTCCTCCCTTTTTCTTTTTCTTTCTTCATCCTTCCAAGTTTTGAACAAGTAAGTTAACAGGTTGCGCGCTTCCTGATAAGCATTTATGCTAACAGCGTCTCAGATGATGAAAGCTTAGCGTGTCCTATATGATCTGTCCTTGCCTCGGGGAGCAGTAAGCCCTCTCTTCGGAGCCCAAGTGGCATGCTGTTCGATGTGGTCGGCGACAATGAGATCTGCGTCCGGCACACCCTTTCTTGTTACATTTTACGGACGTGAAGACGGCATCTCTGACTCCCAATCTTGGAAAGGATTTACTTGTTTATGATTGATATTTGCGCTGACAAGGGTGGAATTTTTGAAAAATACTTTTGACCTCAAGGTTGCGCTTTGATCAGCGATTTGACGTGTTCGACAGTGTCGGCACCAATTCGAAACTGTCTTCCATGAACGTTCTCCACGCTGCCAGGGCAGCTTTCACCTCGTCAGTCGATCCTCCGAACGCAACCCTCACATACCCGCGAATGGTCTGACTGTTCCCGAAGCATTTGCTGGCGGGACAGAGGAGGATGCCAGAGTGCTCGAGCAACTTTGAACAATACCCCTCACTGTCGATAGGCTTTCCCATCTTGTGGAACTTGAGCATTGCTGTTGTCCCGGCTCGCGGCTTGACCCAAGAGCATGACCAGCTGTGTTCTTCCACAAAACCTTGAAGCAGATCTAGGTTGGTTTGGCATATCTTGATGTTTCTGGCTAACAATGCGTGAATGCACCTGTCGCTCACGGCCTCGGCGGCAACCGCTTCATCAAGTGTCGACGCAGTGGTGGATTGGAGACGCCTAAATCTCTTGCAGGCCTCAAGAATGCTGCTGTCCTTTGTGGCAATCCATCCCGCTCTCGTCCCGGCCAAACCGTATGCCTTGGTCACTGCGCCTGTCACGACAACTTTCTTATAGCCCAGGTTGATTGTGGAAGGTGGAAAGTCGTCATCCGACGGCAATATCGAATGGAAAAGAGGCCTGTATGTCTCGTCCGCCAGAATAATTATACCCTTTTCTTCGGCCACTTCGACGAGAGCCTCGAGAATAGGTCTGGGTACTATTGCGCCCGTGGGATCACAGGGACTTTGGATCGCAATCAGCTTTGTATTGTCCTTGATCAATGTCTTTAGCTCCTCGATATCAAGTCCCCACTTCTTCGCTGGGTCTGCATTCCACCAAGTTACCTCCGCGCCCAGAGACGCCGGTATTTTGTAAAGCAGCTCCTCAACCGGATGTTGGCAGATGACATGGTCCCCAGGACTCAGCAGCGCGGAAAATACGGTATAGTCTGCAGCAGCGCTTCCATTGGTGATTATAATGTCATGCTCGGTCACTCCTGCAGAGCGCGCAGAGTAGAGGGCTGCTAGATTCCTTCGCAATTCCACATTGCCCAAACCAGTTTCATTCCCCTGGAGTCTTAGTTCACTCAGCGACAAGGCCTTTTCAGAATGCGGTCTGTCCTCCGAGTGTTCAAGGAGTTCCGTGAGGGAGATGTTGGAGGCGCCCGAAGAGGAAAGATCGTGTCTGGCTGATGAGAGATACTTTTCGTTCCACTGTTCAAATTGTCAGTTGGGACGTCCTGCAGTTGAGGTCTGGCGACTGCCTACCTCGATCACTTCAAGCTGTTCTGCCTTGGTCATTTTCCCTGCTGGAATGTCTCCGAGAGCCCTTTGGTGAAATGAAGGGACTGAGACTTTGGTAGAGAGGTGTCACCGTTAAAGAATGTTCAGGATCAATTTTCTTTGCCAACCGCAGTCGTGCGGAGACGCAGCCAACTCCACCCCACCTCGACTCCTCGACACCTTGACACGTTGACACCTCCCAAGCTCAAGCTCCCTCGTATCTCGTATTATTCCTGCCCTCAGCCCCCCAGACTGGAGGATGCGAGAATGCCACGAGCAACTGCCGGGAGCTTAGCGATTGGTGCAAGTGGACGGGCGCCTTAGCTTGACACAGCTCGGCCCATTGGCCTGCGGCAGAAGGCCGAACCCAGCAAGCCAAGTATCAGGTCTCCCGTCCCCGCCCGTGCAAGTTACCGGCTGTGCCTGTGCTGTTACACCCTGTTGACTGCGACAGTTGAACCTTTCCAGTTCAAGATCCATCTCTTCCCGCTGCAAAAGTGCCATGGTGTGATATCTCCTGCTTTTGTTCCACATCCTTCGTCGCATGTTCCTCCTATCATTCTCCTCTCGACGACCACGCTTTCTGGCCTTCCTCTCCGCCTTCCGCTCCCTTGACGTTTCCTTCCACGTCGACCGGCAAGCTCCTGTCCACAGGCAACAGCCACCCGATCTGTCACCTCCGCACTTGCAAGCCGGACCATATCGCCAAGTCTACCCTCAATGAACCTCCATGGCGTTGCCACTGCCCTTTTGCTTGTCGCGCCGACGTTACTAGCCACAGCCTACCTCAATAATACCTCTCAGGCGTTGATGCAAGATCCGTTCCTCGATCTGGTTGACGGGTGTCCGCCATGCCCTCGATGTTTCGACTGCCACTACGACGAGTTCAAGTGCCTCCAGTTTGCGAGCTGCAGTAGTGCCAACGGGAAATGCGTCTGTCCTCCTGGCTTCGGCGGCGACGACTGCGCAGAGCCGCTGTGTGGTTCCTTGGTCGACGGCAAGAATAGATCACCGAGAAGAGGCGATAAGTGTGACTGCAAAGATGGCTGGGAGGGCATCAACTGCAACGTGTGCACTTCCAATGAAGCATGCAATGCATTAATGCCACTGGGCCAGGGTGGTGTTTGCTATCAAAAGGGTGCACTGGTCCACGAAAACTACCAGGTTTGCAATGTCACCAACAAAGCCATCCTGGATCAGATTGACCCTCGGATACCAGAGGTTACCTTCTCCTGCAACGCGGAAGAAGCTACCTGCAACTTCCAATTCTGGGTTGACCAAAAGGAATCCTTCTATTGTGCCCTCGACAATTGCACTTCCTCGTACCAGGATACCAATGTCCGCAACACCACAAAGTATCAATGCCAAAATATAAAGTGTTCTTGCATCCCCGACCGATTCCTGTGTGGTGAAGATGGCTCTGTCAATATTGACGAGTTTCTGGAGAAAGAGATCAAGGGCCCGGCTTCCTTTTACTCTCAGCACACCTATGGCGGGAGCTCCAAGGACGGTAGCCGGTTCGAAGAACCGGCCATGAACAACTTGATATCCATGATATTCGGCGACGAGTACATCTCGCTACAATGCAGGGCAGGTGAATGTCTGTATGAGACGGATGTGCCTGGGTATGAAAGGCCCATCAAAGAGATCAACACGCCCTTGATTGCTGGAATCATAGCTGGTTGCGCCCTCTTTGTTGTTGCTGTCACGCTCATATCATGGTATCTTTCGCGGAGGGCGGCGCTCAAGCGATGGGGTGCCATTCGGCTGGGTGAAGGCGGTGAAGATGATGCTTCTCTATCCATGATGAACCATACCCCGATGGCTTTGCAATTTGAGAATGTCTCTTATGGTCTGAAAGGAAAAGAAATCCTCTCGGGCATTTCTGGGATCGCCCACCCGGGACAGATCACGGCCATCATGGGCGCTTCCGGTGCGGGCAAGTCTACGTTTCTCGATATTCTCGCTCGCAAAAACAAGCGCGGCACCGTCTTGGGCCATATGTACGTCAATGGCGAGAAGATTCTCGACGCGGAATATCGAAATGTAATGGGCTACGTCGACCAGGAGGATACTCTTCTGCCAACTTTGACAGTTCACGAGACTATCCTGACCAGCGCGCTCCTGAGACTGCCGGCTGATATGGGGATCTCTGTTAAAGAGCAGCGAGTCATCGAAGTCATGCAGCAACTCGGAATCTACCACATCAAGGATCAAGTGATTGGCTCAGAGGAGGGAAATGGTCGGGGCATATCCGGCGGTGAAAAGCGACGGGTTGGTATTGCCTGTGAGCTTGTTACTAGCCCCAGCATACTGTTCCTCGATGAACCAACCAGTGGGCTCGACGCATTCAATGCTTTCAATGTGGTGGAATGTCTGGTAACCCTGGCCAAGACATACAACAGGACTGTCATCTTCACTATCCATCAACCTCGCTCAAACATCGTCGCACTGTTCGATCAGCTCATCCTTCTTGCCAAGGGGCAAGCCGTCTATTCTGGTCCCTTCTCAAGCTGTCAATCATACTTTGATCACATTGGGTACTCATGTCCGCCGGGTTTCAACATTGCGGACTATCTTGTGGACCTGACGATGCATGCTAGTCTTCCGCGTTCGCCCATATTTGAGGACGTTCCGAAAGACTTGCTCGACCGAGATGGCCCGGCAACGGAATCAAGCAGTACCAGGGCTGTCAAATCCATTGCAAGTGTCTCCAACGTGAGCGTTGAGAGTCCACGTGAAATCCCGACACGAGTCAGACCGAAGAGGCGGATTTCATTGAAGCAAAAGCAGGACCGTCAGTTGTTCACTCGAAAGAAGATTGCTGGGAGCGAGACTCCGCCTACTCCAAAGACTGATGACGAGGACACTGTGGTGGGAAGAGCAGCCGGCAGTATGCGGAGCTGGTTGCAAATGTCGAGGAGAGATGGGTCGAACCCACCACCACTTCTGGAGGACCCTGACGACTTACCGCCTGACGCCAGCACCGATCTGGACATTCTGGTAGCCAGTTTCAGGAACTCTGATGTTGCCCAGACGATTCACGATGAAATTGCAGCTTCAATCCAAGCTGCCTCGGCGGCAAACGGCCACGGTGGGGGTGATACTGAAGCCGTCACCGGCTCGATTAAAGGTTTCCGGCGGGTCAGCCTTCCACGACAGTTTTTGATCCTCTCCAGGCGGACCTGGCGGAATCTGTATCGCAACCCGATCCTGATGTTGACCCACTATGCTGTTGCTATTTTGCTGGCAGTGTTGTCGGGGTGGCTCTTTTACGGCGTTACAGACGACATTGGCGGATTCCAAAATCGGCTTGGTCTCTTCTTCTTTTTGCTAGCGCTCTTCGGTTTCAGCGCCTTGACCAGCTTGAACGTCTTCAGCGCCGAGCGGCTGATCTTCGTGCGAGAGCGTGCCAATGGATACTACTCCCCAATCACTTACTATGCTGCGAAGCTCATGTTCGACATTGTGCCGCTCCGACTCATCCCACCTATTATCATGGGCGTCATCATCTATCCAATGTCTGGACTTCTCCCAAAATGGGGTGTTTTCTTCACTTTCATACTGATATTGGTTTTGTTCAACTTGGCCGCGGCAGCTATCTGCTTGACGATCGGTATCGTATTCAAAGATCCTGCTGTCGCCAATTTGATTGGTAGCTTGGTGATGTTGTTCAGCTTGTTGTTTGCTGGCTTGCTCCTCAATCTCAACCATGATACAGTCCAAAAAGCCGCACAATGGTTGCAAATGGTAAGCAATCCCGATCCCGCTTGGTGGAAATTGTCCTAACCCTCAACGCAGTTATCCATCTTCCACTACGGATACGAGGCTCTCATCGTGAACGAGGTAGCCAAACTGCGTCTCAAAGACCACCGATATGGCCTTGACATCGAGGTACCGGGTGCCAGCATTCTCAGTGCCTTTGGCTTTGACAATTTGGCGTTGTGGAACGACGTTATTGGCCTTGGCGTCTTTGCAGGAGCATTCATCATCATCGCATATGGTGCTATGCATTTCCTGCTCGTTGAGAAGAGGTAGCGGCCGTAATGAGAGTTATGTGACGAATGTCTCCTTGTGTGGTGGGTATGGAGTCTTGCATCTACCGGGGTCCTGTGTACATAGATAAATTGGCAAAGGGTGGCTGGGCTGTAAACAACCTATACATATACATTAATACGACCTGATCCTCAAGACTTTTTCGTGAGAAGAGCTGTGGGTTCGCGGTCTTTTTGGTTACTGAACCCTAGTATATTAGAATGAATGGCTTCCCTTTAATATTATTACGAGGATCGACCGGCCAATCTCGGAATCACGCGTCTCGAAAACCAGGGTATGAGACCAACAGCCCAGCCGCCCGATCTCGGAGACGGTCATTATGCGGGGATGATGACCGAAACCCCTTCCCCTACTTGTACCTAAGTTGACTTCCGTCTCCTTGAACGCTTCCAACGTTCTTAAGAGCCACGACACGAACCACTTCCGACGCTGAAGCTCGAGCTACGTCTCACCTCATCTCACCCAGTGTCGTCAAGTCTCAAGGGGCCAGACCATCATGGCTTTACTATTTCGGGCGTGTTCACGCTGCATAAAATCTCAGGCGACGTTCAGTCCAAGCAGTGCAGCTCGACTCGGAACTACTACAGCGACGTCGTCGCGCAGCTTCTCTTCGTCTTGCACGAGATGGAGCTCAAGCTCAGGCTCAAGCTCAGGGCCAGCGCCCGACCCGAAGGCGATAGCGGAGGCTTTTCTGTCCAAATTCTCAAAGGGCCAGACGTTCGTCCGCCGTCAGCTGCTGGACGCAAACCAAATCCGGCTGTTCTCACTCACTCTAAATCGACCGCATCTGTGGCCTACTAGCTCCGTGTCGTCCAGCAAGACGCTTGAAGAGGCGGAGCCCGTCCAGGGCACTCCCATCCCCCCTGCTTATCATCTATGCTACTTTACCCCCGCACAACTACCCGGTATATTAGGTCTGGATGGCACGGACGCGAGTTTCAACCCTGATGCACCCTTCACGAGACGCATGTGGGCAGGCGGATCATGTCATTGGCCCGGTGCCGACCCCAACTCAATCCACCAGGCGCTCTTGGTGGTTGGCGATACTGTCACCGAGGTGACCAGGGTGTTGAGTTGTGAGCCAAAGGTCATTGGTAAGACTGGGGAGAGTATGCTGGTCGTGGGCGTGGAGAAGGAGTTTCGGAACGGCAAAGACGAGCTGTGTGTCCTCGACCGGAGGAATTGGGTCTTTCGGGTAGCCCTCGACCCATCGAAGCCTGCTCCACTGGTTCCCAAGCCGAAGGAATTGTCACAGGCGGAGCTTGACGAGAGCGTCAAGGGTAAACTGTGGAGGGAATACAGCCGCGACGAGGCGACACTTTTTCGGTTCTCGGCGCTGACGTTCAATGCGCACCGGATTCACTACGATAAGCCCTGGGCAACGGAAGTGGAGGGTCACAGGAATGTGGTTGTCCATGGTCCGATGAATCTGATTGCCATGTTGGATCTTTGGCGGGACGAGGCCAGTGTCTTTCGAGGGATTGGTGAAGGGTCAGCACAGGACGATGAGGTAGTGTATTATCCGCAGACGATTGAGTATCGGGCTACGAGCCCTGTATACGGCAGGGAACCCTACCGGGTGATGATGAATAAGGAGGCGGTGGACAAGAAGGAGGCAGAGACAAGGGTGGTGAGCAATGATGGGACAGTGTGTATGAAGGGGACTGTAACGGATTGGTCTTTGAGCAAGTAGGACGCCACAAAAGCAAATTGAGCAGTCGGTGCGAGAGGATCGGAGAGTCTAGACGGCCCTGACGGAGGTGGCCGTTGGTTCGTGTCGCTCACCAACCCATAATGGGAGCGGAAGCTTCGATGTGGAGGGAGTCGGATGAGATAAGGATGGCTGGATGAGGATTTGGTTGGGGAGAGCGGCTGAAAATCCAGATCGTTGCCTATACTCTGCACGGTGTCTTTGACCTGCCTATGCGGTTTCTTCTGAGAGAAGTAATCTGTTCGTGGGGAGCAAGGAGGTAGTGGTGGTGCCCATCAGGATGAAGTGGAGATAGACCAGTTTGGTGGTAGGTTTGAAGACAAGTCCGGAGGAAACAGCCTAAAGAGCCTAAAATCAACTACCCGAACCTGCTCCCTTATAGGTGCCTAGCGCCTATAAGGGGGCAGCACCTGTCTTAGTAACCTAAAAGCTAGGGTGCCTAGGTCCTTTACGCCCGTTAGGCGACGCCCCCTGCGGAAGTGACCATCCGTTATACCACAGGCGGGGCTAGCGGAGATCTGGTTAAGCGCCACTGGTGCCACTGCCCCTCCGCACTTTCATCACTTCTCCTCCTCCTCTTCCAAGCCGCATTCATCTCATCTCTCGCATTCTGATCCTCCACATGTTTACGTACAGCTCTCCGCCGCCATCATCGTTCCCAGAAAAAAAATTCGGACATGAATTGATCGTTGGTCGCCCATTATTGTTCTCGACATCCCTCTAATTCCACAGCATCCTCCTCGGCATACCGTCGCGCCGTCTCCCAGAACCTCTCGCGATGACTGTCACCTTTTCCCTGGCGCCGCCATGATTCCACAAACTCCTTCTTTGATCGTCCCTCCAGATAGCTCTGCCCAACAGCTGCTGCGGCTAGGGAAACCCTTCGTCGAGTTTCCTCGCTTCAGCATCCTCGCGCTCCAGGAAGAGAAAGACCAGGACGGCAACCTTCTTCCTTTCTCGGAATGGCTTACCAAACGTCTCCAGCTGGGGCAGCCTTTCGTCATAGCTGAATTTGACAAACTCGACACCTGGCCGGCCTCGGGTTCTCACAATGGTAACAAGCCCGGCTTCGGCATCGAGAGGCTGATCGAACTGAGCACCAAGAAGAACATCCCCATCCGAAATTGCAGCACCGGTCGGGATCTGTCTTTCACCCTCAAGAAATTTGCCGACAGTGCCAGACAGTCGTTTCCCGAATTTCAGAACCTTTATGCCAGAGACTTGCAATGTCCGCAAGAGTGGCTGGAACAATGTCGCAGGATTTTGCCCACCGAGGTGCAGTGGGGTGGGCGTTTGGATCTCTTCCAGTGGCTGCCACAGTGTGCGAGGAGTGAAGTTATGATGGCCTACGTTGGCAGCGAAGGGAGCAGTTCAGGGTTCCATCGATGCTTTTCGAGCACAGTCGCATTGAACCTGCTCGTCGAGTCGGATGATCGCCCAGTGGTATGCATTGGTACGGACTTCGACTCGCAGAAGAAATATGACGCCTTCATGTCGGCCCGTGGGGCTTCACCTCATTTAGACTGGCTGAACCTGGGATCAGAGGAACTCCTGAAAGCTGACTTCCCCCTCTATGCCTACGATCAACGGGTTGGCGATCTCGTCGTCTTCCCTCCTGCCACAGCCCACCAGGTCTGGAATCCGGCCACACTTTCGGCCAAGCTTGTCTGGAACATCCTTCATCCTCTTTCCCTCGAAGTGGGCTTTGACTATGTGCAGGCCCCTTTTAACCGCCTCTGCCATCCTGACGTCGCTCGAACCAGCCTCTCACTGGCGTGTGCCATGCTATCTCTGCTCCAAGACAACCAGACAATGAGAAGCTCCCCACTACCGTTGCCTCCGGATCTACCTCTCCTGTCACGCTTGTTTCGTCAAATGGTCCATGACGAATCCATTGAATCCCACCCTATCACTCCAGTCGCTTTAGTGCCTATACAGCAAGGGACAATTGCGACATGCAACTTTTGCAGTACGGCCATCTGGAACCGCCACGTGCGATGCACTCAATGCGCCGATTTCGATCTCTGCCTGCTTTGTTATCTCAATGGTCGTTCCTGCGAGCACTCCCAATCCTATGCATGGGCAGAACTAGTGCCATCGGAGCAATGCACCAGGGTTCTCAACCGAGCTCGAGAGATTCTAGGGTTCCAGCCAGAGGAACCGCGGACACTAGACAAGCGCAAGACTCTGGGAACAGCAGTCAATGATCTGATGCGTGCCAAAACATCGACAACGAGCAGACTATGCCACCTCTGCCGCATCGACCACCAAGAATGGAAAGGGCGACGTTGTGACAAGTGCACCGCCTTCTTCTGTTATCGAGGCTTATTCCGGCATTTTGATGAATATCCCTCGGAAGTGTTACGGCACAAGGGACTGTGGACTTGTCCCAAGTGTACCGAGACTTGCAACTGTCGGTGTTGTCATTTCGCAACGGCATACATTAAAAGCGAGAAACCTGCCAGCAAAAGAAGAGTGAAAGCTTCTGATCCTCGTGGCAAGGTGATGGGCTTTGCAGACAATGTATTTGATCAAAAGCGTGGTGGTCGACGAGATTCCAGCCACAATAGCTCTGGCAGTGGACCGTTACCCGGTGTGGCACAGATTACGGGCAAGAAGCGGGCCATCTCTTCCTCGGCAGATCCTGGCCCTGCAACCCCGCTGAGGAAGATGGAGTTGCCAACACCCGAACCCGATTTTTCAGGGACCAGGCTGGCGCTGTCGAGGGAGGGCTCTGAGTTCTTGATGGATGTGCCTTTTGGAGGCGTCAACGGGACGCTGCCCACGCCGTTGCCGAGTATGAAGACATTCCCCGATGGCCCCGACTTCATGGTCAGTCCTACCGATGAGAGACATTCGCGAGTGAGTAGCTCGCCCGGAATCGTGTCCCTGGCCTCTGTGGCAATCAGCTCCAGTCGCATACCATCCAACATCCAGAATAATACCCTTCCACCCATGCTCGGGCATACCGCTTCAGCTACCAACGGCTTGTACCTCCCGCAGCACAACTCCAACGGCAGTTTCAGCACTCCATCATCTAGTGCCGCGACGTCATCTCCTACGAAACTTGCTGCGTGTGCGACGGAGACTAAAGTTCCCACCGCCGCACTGGACGCTTCAATCACCGAACTTGAAACGCAACTGGTCAAACTCAAAAGGTACGAGGAAGAGTTCATTGCTCTGAACCTGGACGACAGTCGAAAGATGCTGGCATGCCAGCTGGCCGAGTTGGAGAGCCAGATCAGGGCAAAAAAGCGGGAGAAGAGTCTCA